TACACTGCTAGGGTTCACTGGCAACATGAAGAGTTAACGCAACATGCACCAGCAAAGGCAGCAAGCAGAAGATGCAGCAGCAGGGACAGCACAGATGGGACTGCACCCAGGGAGCAGACAGCAGCATCACTTGCACTCTCTAGCTCCTGGGACACTCACAGGTAAACGCTCCAGGCACAAGCACAAGCCTGCTAGGTCCCAGTACGGGTTTTCCCGAGGTTGTTCTGCGGGTGCAGTTGCTTGATGCTGTAGCCAGGAGAGCAGCTGCTGTGCTAACTGGAGCGCAGGGTGATGGAGGACAGCCAGAGCAGCCAGCCGCGCTGCTGCCGCCGGGGCACTGGGCTCCCTCCCTCCACTTGCGGAGAGGCCGAGCACAGTGAACAGCTGGCAGCTGCCCTCACTGGCCTCCAGCTGCAGGTTTGCCAGCAGGAACAAGTCACAACACGGCTACATATTTCAAGCTGTGTTTGCTCATTGCTAGCCCTTCAGTGGGTCCTAGCCAGAAGGAGCTTATGCCACAAACCAGGAAAGAGCATATGTTTAGTCAGCATGGAATAAGCAGAAGAGAGCAGCCAGTGTTTACAGAAGGTCTAATCTGCCTCTTGCTTGCTCATCATGAGACATAATTTGTTGGTTGCAGATCAGTCAGCCCCATGCCTACAGAGCTCCACAGGATCTGCACCCAATTTTGGTTTTTCCAGCAAGGTCATAACTCAAGAAACATAAGCCTGGCCTTCTTCCATCTCAGATGAAACCAACAGTTAAAGCCAAACTTCTGAAGATGGTTTTATTCAATATTAAAGAACAAGAGTGAAAAATAACCAACTTACGTATGGCATCCATTTCTAGAATTGCCTGCTTGGCCTGAAAGAGAAAAAATAACAAATGAAAAAGCTAAACTATAAGTAGGAGGACAAATTACATCAGATAGTAGTGAGTTTATATGTAAACAAAAGCAAGTTTAGTTTTGAACTGATAAATATGGTTAGCAGCACTATTTTCTTTCTTTCTCTGTGTGCTAGACACACTACGTATGTGAAGAAGAATTTTACTGGCAGAAGTTTAGCCAAGTTTACCTTCAGGGCTTCACACCAAACCCTGTTGTTCCCTGCACGCGGCAGCTCCTCCCTGCGTGCCCACCTGCCCTCCTGGCAGCACCAGTGGGGGAGCACAGACCTACGGCACCCACTGGTGTGACGTGTTACTCGAGGACGTAGTGATGGCACATCTGACCCTAAAAACTACTTTGGCTTCACAGGTAGGGACTATGCTGTGCTGAGATCATGCTGCACACATGGGTCTCTTCCATGGAGACACAAACCTCCAGAGATCTCTCTCCAAGTCCCAGAATTTGGAGTTGCTATGCCTCTCCATGTTGCTGAGATTAGCACAAAACTGTCCCTATTATCTGGGAATCACAAGGGGTTTTTTGTGATTCACAGAACTTTTCCTACCTAAAAATCAAAGAGTTTAACTCCTTTATTATTTTTCAACTCTGAAGATGTTGGCGCAGAAAGCACTATCGACCTCGCTTCCTTTAAGAGTTTCCTTGAGGAACGGCTATTAAACAAAATAAATCATAACTTGGTTTAAGACTGAGCCAGGAAAAAAAGTGTCTCACGACTGCTTAAAATTTGTCACTTTTTTAATAGGAAAAATAATCTGGATATTTCATCAAGTAAATCAGCCAATAAGCAAGAAAAGAAACTAAAATAAAACAGCCTACATAACCTGCTTGCCCTTCTACAAGTGCAGTTCGGTAATCTTCCACCAGGCGTCACAGGTGGACTACTATTAAATCCTCCAAAATCTGGGCAGAGAGAAGTCTCATAAATAGCAACTACGAGTTTGTTAAAAAAAAAAAAAAAAAAAAAGAGTGCAGATAACCTCAGAGATTTATTTGGTTAGACTTTTGCTTTCTCAAGTGAAATTATTTCTCTGAGCAGAAAATGACATTATATTTTTGGTTGCATGTTTTTTCCACAGATAAAAAAATCCAATAAGAAGTAAGAAAAAAATCTTCTTACAAAAGCTGAGATCATGCTGTAATATTTCTTTTTACAACCTAATAAACTGCAACGAGTATTTACATTGTAAGCATGGATACTAGTACAAACATTATACCTTCGATAAGCTCTGTCAAAAGATAGATAAGAGGAAAATAAGTAATAGCAACTGCTAGGGCTTTTTTCCTCCCATAATTCTCTTTTTGTTGAATTGTTGAAAATAAGAGTTAACACAGCATTGTGTACGTCCATCACAGGTAACATTTTTTCGCCATTACAGCACAAAACTCCATGAAAAAAAAAGTCAGTGAAACTAATACTGAAAAAAAAAAAAAAAAGCAGTCAAACTCAGTAGGAAAAAAACCATCCTATCAGTGCCTCATTTTCTCTGGCACAAGGCTTGCTAGCTATCTTACCAAAAAGGGCCCAGAGGTCCCAGTGAAGGATGCAGGGTTCAGGATGGGTGTGTGTACTTGTAAAGTGAAGCACATGCTGCTAATGGCTTCACTGCTGTGATACCTAACCAAAATAGATTAAAACTAGCTTGGTAGTGTCTACACATGCTGCAATTAGTGTTCCACGGTGTTGTGCAGACAGGCAGTATCAAGCCAAGGCATGCTCTTACAGTGGAGCTTCCTGACAGTGCATCTCTGTTCCTCATGTCTTAGCGGGCAAATCCTAATGTGGACAGCAATGCCACTAACCCAGGTAAATTCTATTCCTGTACCAAGATCAGTAGATGCTTTTAGTGGAACTTTCCCACTAATTTTGAGGAATTTTTAAAGACATAGGGAGACAACATGTTAATTTTTGTCCTGGAGTCTAAACTTTCTGTAAATTGCCATACATCTTGCAACTAACAAGACTGCTTTAGGTTAAATGCACATACAAGGAGGGGGTAGGTTTTTCTTAATTTTTACCTTGGCAGGAATTTTAGCAGGATGATTTTCTAGAATTAACCTCTTCAGATGAAGAATCCAAAGGCGCTTCTCTTGCTGTGACTTTGCCTGATTAAAAAAAAAGAATTGTAGCACCATGAGTAAATGCATTACTGCAATACGCAGGCTCAGGAACAGCACACAGTCATCAGCGAGGGCATCTAGGGAGGCTTCTGTCATACCTGGACAGTATGTTGCATCTTGGGATTTTTGTAGTGGAAGACGCTAAAGCTAAGTGGTTCTTTTGGTATTACTTCAACAAGCATGAGATTTCCACACTGCAACAGAGAGGCAACCATGTGAGTCATGGAGGAGTTTCAGGGGGACCTAGTCAGGACACTACCACCTGCTTTACAACATACCAGTATGTGAGCTTTGTACACAAACATCTCATCTCTCTTTTTTGTAATTAGCAGCAGCTTGTCAAAGAGGAACAACGTGCGCTCATTTTTGGCTCGCTGAATGCGAAATGTTCCTTCTAACACCAGCTCCCCGTAACTCGTGAGATCTGGCCCTTTCCAGTTAGTGAGCAAGCTCTGTATCTCCTGCAACAGATCAAAGAAGAACAACCAACGTTCATTATAAAGATTCAAACAAGAACTGCTGAGGCCATTCCCACCCTCCTGTATGAAGTTCACCATTCATCCAACAGTGTAAAGTCACCATACACTGGTACTGAGGTTGCTACACTACGTGCAACATTGCAGCCAGGTGCTTGGATGCTTATTGCTAAGCCCAGAGTAAAACACATCCTCCTGAGTACAGGTTACCTCTGCATGAGCTCAGCTAAAAGTCCTGAGCTCTCCAGGGCAGTCTGCTGGGAAAGAACACAACCCCATCTCGCCATGCTCTCAGAGATGGAGAACGGTCTGTAAATTCAGCCATCAGTCTTTCTTGTGCCTGCTCCCCTCTTCCCTCTATGTCCCTATCCAATCTCTCTCAACATTTCCCTCTCACCCTGTGTATCCTCCTGAAGTTGTGGGGTCCTCCGCTGGATTAATTATAATGCCATCTCTATGTCCTGTAGGCCCATCACAGAAGACACCTCTGTGAGATGTCCAGACTGAAGAGATGTTTCTCAGACAACCAGTGGACCAGAAGTGATTTGGTCAACTGATGATTTGAAGATTGAGATTTATTTGTATTTTTAATGATTTGTACACATACCATAGATATTTTTCACCTTATTTATTACTTAAGAAAAAAAAACTGGAGAAACATCTAAGAACGTCTTCACAAGTCTGTGTTGCTTAGCTATGGCTATTCTTGTTTTCTTCAGTTACTTGTTTTTTCTGATACTGGTAACGTAATAGCACTTAAGAATGGTACAGCAAATTGTAAGACCAGACTAAAACTTAAGGAGCGAATTCTGTAAAAATGTCCATTAAACTTTAAACCTGGCAGCATTAGCAAAGCAGGGGCAGATTTCCTCATCCTAGGCTGGTCTCTCTAGGACATTACACTTCAATACAGTATTCAGCTAGAAAACATCTCAGTATATTTGATGCACAAATGCAGCCTTGAACATTCACAGGAAGAAAACCCCAAAGCAGCACACTTTGGATTATATACAAGAATGTTACAGGAAAAAAAAAAAATTAAACAAATGAAAAAAATTGCATTTTATCGGGTCTCTCTAGGAACTTGTAAATAAGCACTGGTATCACGTCCACCAGTGTTGAGGGAGGCTGCACAGGAACTGCTGTCACAGTACATGCTGCATTACAGACTGAATAGCAGTCAGACTGATAGCCCACAGAAGACCTATCCTTATGGCTGGAAAAACAGATTTTACTTTTTAGAAGGGTAAGTATGAACATAAACATTTCCCACAACCCCGTACATTTGCCAGCTGAGCTCAATAAATTAATAAAAAAAAATTGAAACCCCCCCACTTTTCCAAAAGCATTTAACACTCTTTATTGCCAAATATTACAGGTTATCATAACTCAGATTTATAGCAGACTGTTGGTAAGTCACTAACATGCATTTCCAGCAATGTGTGGCAAAGGTTACACTGCTCCAGGCAAGACATTATCAAATGTAACCCTATTCTCTCTACACAAACAACAAAAAAAACCCCACAAAAATGAGGGCCAGTAAGTACCATTTATGTTAAAAAGAAAAAAGAGATAAAGAATAATAAGAGAGATTCTAGAATGGTATAAGCCTATTACTGCCTTTTATAAACTAAAAAAATCCCCCCGATTTTCTTAAAGCAATATAAATACTGATGATGAAAATGTAATGTAATTCATGGGGAAGTTTGAAACAGAATGACTATTCTGTAAAACATCTACAAAATAGCTTGCTCTTGGTGCCAAAAGTTACTTAGGGTGTAGCTTTTGTTTTCTCTTCAAAAATGCTTCATCCAAAGCAAAGTTAGCCTTTTTCTAACTATCATATTTCTAGGTTTATACTTTTCACAAAGCAACTGATAACGAGTCTTCAAAAGCCCAAGAGGAAAGTACTTAAACAAGAAGCAGCAGAAGAAATGCCTCAAAACAAAATTAATCAGCACAAAGGGGAGAAATTGGAAACCACAGGATTTCTGAACAAAGCCATGCCCTAGGGTTGTACAGCAGTGCTGTACAATTGAGGGAAAGGAAGAAAGAAAAATTATCTTAAGTTCCATATTACTGCAAAATAAATGCTTTACAGGATGCCGCTTGTAGGGCAGAGTTGTCCAAGATTTTCCTGCAGCAGCTATGACCATGGTCTGTAAGATCAAACAGCCACAGGCACACTCAACAGGAGACTAAATTATGACTGACAAAGATTAAAAGAAAAGATAAACTAAAAAATGTTAATGGCACGTACATTGACAAAAACAGCTCACAAACACCCACAAAATCGCTTTGCGAACTCACTTGGAGCCTGATGGCATGTTCATGTTTCCTCTTCATGTCATTTATATGCCACGCCACCCTCTGCATCGTATCTATGGCATCCAACACCACATCATAGCCCTCAGTGTCCTTGTCAAGGTGGTTTTCTATTTCCTAAGAGAGATGGAAAAAAAAGTCCTGTTATTTCTAAACAAATTTTCCCAGCCAGACGCAATACTATGTTTTTATCTGTACTACTTTGTTTTTGCATTGTGATCACCCAGGTGCAATGTTCCTGCTTTTGTCACTAGTGGATGTCGGTATCAATTTGATTAACACAAGATAACTAACAAAGCCAAGCCTTTACGGTCAGTTTAGCAGTGACTATACTTGCAGCAGCTGATGTGAGCAGAGAGGCACAGAAAGAGAGCACGGCACGCTGACAGGAGACCTTTTTAGACAGGATTTAATAGCTTTCTTAAAATGCAGAACATATCTACACACTTACAAAACCCTGATGGAATTACACCAGGCATTGCTTTACAGTTGGAGAGGAGAAAAGCACCAGACATTTTAAATAAGAATCAGTGTATTTACACTTCACTAGAACATGACTTTCTAATAGGAAACATATGTGGAAAATGTTAACAATAAAGCAGGAATTTCCGAAACTTGCTTAACTCAACTCACTAAATATGGAAAGAGTTCCCACTTCCTCAGTCATTCCTCTCCACAAAAATCTTACCAGTCGGGGTGTTTATATATATTTATTTATTCTTTCAACCACCTCCAGCATTGCAACATGTGGAAGAATGATATTTTTCATTGGAACAATAAATGTGTACAACAGTGTTTCATCATGACAAGAATCATAGAACCATAGAATGGTTTGGGTTGGAAAGGACCTTAAAGATCATCGAGTTCCAACCCCCTGCCATGGGCAGGGACACCTTCCTCTAGCCCAGGTTGCTCAAAGCCTCATCCAGCCTGGCCTTGAACCCCTCCAGGGATGGGGCATCTACAGCTTCTCTGGGCAACCTGCTCCAGTGCCTCACCACACTCACAGTGAAAAATTCCTTCTCAATATCTAACCTAGATCTGCCCTCTTTCAGCTTAAAACCATTACCCCTCATCCTATCACTCCACCCCCTGAAAAAGAGTCCCTCCCCATCTCTCCTGTAGCCCCCTTTCAGTACTGAGAGGCTGCTTTAAGGTCTCCCTGGAGCCTTCTCTTCTCCAGGCTGAACAACCCCAACTCTCTCAGCCTGTCCTTGTATGGGAGGTGCTCCAGCCCTCTGACCATCTTTGTGGCCTTCCTCTGAACTTGCCCCAACAGTCCATGTCTTTCCTGTGCTGAGGACTCCAGAGCTGGATGCAGTACTCCAGGTGGGGTCTCATGAATCTTCCAAACAACTTCAGAATTACAGACCAGTTTTAGAAAGGTAATTATTTGGATGCACAGACCGATTCAATGTGTCTGAAACAATTACAGTAAATTCCCCACTCCAAATATATGCACATGCTCTGAAACGACAAAGACAGAAAAAATCTTCATCTCCATACAACCCCAAAAGAAAGAGCGTCTAGAGACACCCAGAACCTTTCTAACATCAAGTCTTGTATCGGAGGCAGGAAGTTTGACATGCAGCAGCCCTAAGCAAAATTCATTTCTCATGGGTGCTTACGTGCAAAAGCAGGTGGTACTTGAGGATGCGCTGGACAGGTTTCAAGAGATAGGAGCCGAGGGGCAGAGAATGCTGCAGCGCTTCCTGCCGCTCTCTGAAGAACTTGGCCAGCGTTTTGTTCCTCATGCACTCTGTCAACACAGCCACCGACCTGGAAACATCAATACATCGCTTTAAGACACACTGTCTCTGTAAGTCTGTAGGTAAAGTCAAGAACTGTTTGTTTCCTTCCCTGTAAAAGTGGGCAGCAGGTTCCTAATCTAATAACTGCTGTTTGATTTTTTGTTTTAAGTTATCTTGTATATTCAGTTATGTTTTCCTTTGACGTGCAACTGTTCTCTCTTATTGGGAAACACATATTTGGAGCACTGCAGAATAAGACATCATTTGCTAAAGAAGGATAATAGCAATGAATGACAAAAGAGGTCAAAATAAAACTTCAGATGAGTATCCTTCATTTTTTGTTGGGTTTGGTTTGTTTGTTGAGTCTTTTTAATCATTATTTTTAGTTAGGAAAAAAGTTAAGTCCTTGCCCCTGCCTCCAACTGGGGGGTGTGGGAGGGCATGATTTTTTTTTTTTAATTATTTTTTTTTACGGAGTGTAACTTACATTACACCTACAGGCCAAGGTACAAAAGAAGAAAGGGAACCCAGTATTCCTACCTTGGGTAGTTGGTGCAGTACTGTGTATATATGTGGAAATCTTCACTCTGCACGGGAAGGAAAGGTTTACACATAGTCAGATTTTGTCAGACTAGCATCTATCACATGTACAAGATAAAGATGATGACACCAAGACAACACCTCCTACCGTTCCTGATCAATGAGTTCACTGTGATAGTCCTAACACTACCATAGACCTACCAACTGAATTTGATTTTTCCTTTTTTGAAGATTTTTCCTGTACTTGAAGGAAAAACCAAGAAAACCTACACAGAGATAAAGCAAGCAGCTTTGCAAAAGAGCCTCCAAGGGCCTTTGTGACAATCTATGCATCTTATTAAAAAAAAAAAAAAAAAACAAACAACCACAACCCCCCCCCCACCCGCAAACATACATGAAAAACAGCAACACATATACACTCTTCAAACAACAGACTTGCACATACCTAGTTTTGTGTGTGCTAAACCACACACCTGCCTACTGGGAGAAGTAAATTTTGCAGGTTATGTTTGATGTGCAATTTTCAAACAACTATAAATACTTTTACATTTGAGCCCAGTTGAAGCATGAAAATTTGAAGCCACAAAAGTTTTGGGTTTTTTTGTTTTTTGTTTTTTTGGCTTTGTTTTGTTTTTAAGTAAATGATGACTCTGTGAAAGCAGGCAGTTATTATCCAAACAAGTTGCAACTAGATTTAGGTGGGTTTCCGCACTTGCCTGTCACAGTGAAATTACCCACGCTTAATACTGACAAGCTTCTCAGAGCACAAGCTGAGTTTCATTTCTTTCCTCCTTGGCCTAAGATTTTTTTCTTAATAATCATTATTTAATTCAATGCGAGAACAGGTTTCCAGAAATCTTCCCACGTGCTTTAAATTCACATCCACCTACCAACTTCTATCCCAAATAATATGGCATTTCCGCAGCTTGCTGAAGCCCTAAAGACTATGAAAGCACTGCAGAACTGCAAAGTGCTCCTAAAGTAATTTAGTTGTTCTTTCCTGAGCCCGAGACCAATAAAAAGCTATCTTGTCATAGTGAACAAGACCCCAGTTTCCACTCGAAGCATCTTCAGAATGGACTCTGGCATTCCACAGCACAACAGCTGTGCTCCACGAGGGACAGTCGCTGGTGAACAGCGAGACCAAGTATCTGCCTTCAGAGAAGGCAACGGTGCTCTGAGGAGCAACACCACCAGGGGAGAGGGCTGGCACAGGCTCTGGCTTTTGTTTCTTGTTGTTGGGGGGTTTTTTTTGGCTATTCATCAGAAAGAGCCAGCTCAGGCAGTACCCCTTCCCCATTTCCAAGAGCACGGCTCCCTTCTCCCTCTCACAGAGGTAAAGCACATCATGCCACTCATTTTTCCAGTGAGCTGTGATTCATAAAGACCCCATATAAAGTGAGGTACTACGCCATATGAGTACAAGTCACCGCAATTCATTCCAGTATTTCTTGCTGGATTTCAATATTAACTGTTCTAAAAACATGAATAACTCAAGCAAACTTCTAATCAATGTTTCTCTAGGGGACTGTGATCCCCATTTACTCACTAATGGGCTGTAAGCTTATTAAACTGCTCTTTGCTTAGAAACCAACCAACTAGATGTAGTCTTGGTACATATACAGTTAAACGATATAGCTTGATTTTTCATGCTTGGACTAATTTTGCTGTTGCAGCTAGTTTTTACGGTGGTGTACATACGCCCTGTGTCCACACCCAGACAGGGAGCTCGTGTCATAGCCTGTCCATGTCCACGCTTGGGGCTTCCGGCCACAGCTCCAAACCCTTGCTGCTCATAATGAAGATTTAACAAACCTCAGAGCATTGCAGATATACACTGTGTAATTTTCTGCAGCAATGACTACCAAACTAGCAAGCACTCGCAATAAGTTAGGGTGCTTAAGAGAGAGCATTAGGATGAAATTCAGTATGATGAAAATAGGTGATTTGTTTTATATATGCATATATCAATACAAGCCTTTCGTTCAGGGGCTTTTGGTATAAATTATAACATACTCCCAAGGTTACTTTCACAGAATAATGCAATTTATAGAACTATTTCATAAGCAAAGTGCAGAACATTTTGTGCCAATTTATTTTTATTTATAAATTCTGCTCAAAAATGTAGTCATGATTGTTCTGCTTTCAAAAAAAAAAAAAAAAAGGAAAAGACTATCTGTTGTGAAATTTTAACAAATGAAAGCATTATCGGTAAAACAAACAAGGCCAAACACTTCAGGGTTTCAGAGTGGACTGAGTGCACATTCCCCACAAAATCAAAAGCAAGTCTGAAATCCCCAGCAGCCTTTTCACACTCTCCCTCTTTATTTTGGTTTTTGATTTTTTTTTTGTTTGGTTTAGGCTTTTACATAAGCTTAAAACTACTTTCCATAGGATTTTTTGTTTTGAAAGAATTTTAGTCTAGATATTAAATGGAACAAACTTGTATATAAAAAAAAAAAAAGGCATTTCTCATGCCCTCAACCTCTAGAAACTTTAAGTTCCCTGCTTTCTGAACAGACATGACACCAAATTTCATACTGCCCTTACATGTGTACTCGCTTCATTGCGCCACAGCTCATTTCATCACACGAAACCATCAGAGATCATTTCCTTTTACTGAGAGCATTTGGTTTTACTGAACTATGCGAGCACAATGCCAGTAGAAGGTCAATTACATGTATTTTGCCTCCAGAATCCAGAATGAGATTGTTGATATGCATACAAACTTACGAAGCTGGTGTGAATCACCATCATATGCCTTGCCTGGGCACCAGCAGGATTCACGTGAACGCATTGGGAGAGCGGCCAAGAGAGCCACTTCCAGGAGAGACTCTTCCTCAGCCTAAGGAAGCCGCACAGCTCAGGACGGCCGTTCTCCCACCGCCTGCCTGGTTACCCCGCACCTCTGCACAGTCCAAGAAGGGACTTCTAGTTCACACACCCAGTTGGTTTTCTCTACTTCACAGCAGACTACCCAGAGAGAGCACTGCATTACTGGGAGCATATCAAGGCGCAAGCCAAGCAGGCTGAAGCCGATGCTGTGAACTATGTTCAGAAGCAACAGGAAAACCAGGACTAGGACGGCTTTAATATAGTTCTCTCAATACTTTCACACCGCAAACAAAACGCCAGCTACGCTCATCAGTATTTCTTTGGACAATCTTAAGCTTACTCAGCTTTAAAGCTGTTTTGTTCACCTTAAGTGTCTTCGAACTAGATTAAAAGTGATCTCTGCAGGGAGACTGGAATCATTCCAGAAATAATTTTTAATCTGGGGGCCCAAATCTGTTGTGGTAGAGGGTGCAAAAACTGAGACCCAAGCTGAGAGTTCACCCATGCTGACCACAAGTCACCCCCTCACAAGCAAAGCCTAAGTGTCTTCGAACTAGATTAAAAGTGATCTCTGCAGGGAGACTGGAATCATTCCAGAAATAATTTTTAATCTGGGGGCCCAAATCTGTTGTGGTAGAGGGTGCAAAAACTGAGACCCAAGCTGAGAGTTCACCAATATGCTGACCACAAGTCACCCCCTCACGAGCAAAGCCAAGCCCAAGCAGATCCCAGCTATACTTAGCTTGTCCCCCGCTGCTGAATCAATTCACTGCACGTCTCCACCACATGGTGTGAAGAGCCAAGCACGTGGCTACATCCCCAAACTTCTCTCAACTCTTGGTGCACTGTGCTTTTTTACAGCTATAAAAGGCACTTTAAAAGAAAACGGAGACTGAGAAAATGAGCTGAGTCAGAGTATAAACTGAAGCCAATTGCCTGGATCTCCTCTTCATTAATGAGATGCTAGATTAGAGTAATTCTTCCTTTCCCCTTGGTTAAGCTGTTGGTGTGTCCTTCAGAAAACATATGTTCTGAATTTCTGGGGTGCTGAGTGAGAAGAGCGACTTGCCAGAATTAAGCTCTCCTTCACAACAACTCACTTAAATGTAAACGTGTAGAATACTGAAGTCAATCTCCTAATTAATGTTGGCATCATTACTATAAAAATGAAAGACTGAGTTGGCAAGAAAACTTATAAACAATCTTTTATGTGAATAATTAAGCTACAGCTAAGCTTGCACTGGAGCCCTTTTATCAGCCTCCGATTACAGTTACCAGCAAAATGTCTCCAAAACACTTAATGTACTAGAGTTAATACAGTTCTTCTAGATTAAGAAGAATTTAAGAATTAAACTACCCCCAGCAGCAGGTTATTTCTGTGCAGTGGTCATCCCACACTGTTTAAACAAATATCCATCCACACCATCTGCATCTTGGGGCAGAAAGGTTCATGACTGGACCATAGGTTTTTATAAAGTGTGCTTTTCTGGATTGGCGTCTATTTGCCTGTGAGTTATTAACTAAAATGTCTGGAAGCAGAAGGATTTAATACAATGTTGTAAGTTGTTATTTAGATCATAAAGTCATAGCTTTGCATGGTTATTTTATCTGTTAGTGAGTTTTATGTTACTGGTTAGTTCACACTAATGACATCTTGCTGAGGTCTGTTAACAAATAAAAGCTGCCATTTCATAGAATCATTAAGGTTGGAAAAGACCTCAAGGATCATCAAGTCCAATCGTCAACCCACACCACCTAACTCACTAAACCATGTCCCTAAGCACCACATCTACACGTTTCTTGAACCCCTCCAGGGATGGTGACTCCACCTCTTCCCTGGGCAGCCTGTTCCAATGCCTGATCACTCTTTCAGTGAAGAAGAGCTATTTTAGGAGCTATTTATTTCGGGTACTCAGCACAACAAATATTAAGGTAAAGATTCAAATACACAATTATGAGCCTTTGTCCAAAGTGCGCTAATGTAACTTGATAATCCTTACTGTATTTCCCTTAAAAGTAAAAGCTGCAAGGCTGTTTACTACTCAAGTATGAAAGTTATACACTGGAAACACAGAGACGTATGATTGTGTGAGGGAAGTATAATACACTGTACAAGAAATTTTATTGAGCAAAACCAAACAACAAAGTCAAGTTCAAAGAAACAGTCTATCAAATACAGTCCAAAACTAGACCTTAAAAACTTAAGCTCCCTAGAGCTTAATGTTTTTACAAATATCAAACATTTTAGTTCCAACAAGCTCCAGAGTTACTCTAACCATAACTGTTCTGTTACACACACAAATCAACTTTGTAATTTCACAAGTCCCAAAGAAAGAAATGGCTATTACTTTATGCAGTTACTGAGCTTAATGAAATGCAGAAAGTAAATACAGCACCAAAGTGAAAACTTAACTATATGTTTAAATTCCCAGCAACTACAGTATTCACAGCTGAAACAGCCAGTTGAAAAAAAATGGCACTAGAGCCAGAGCTCATGTAACCTAAGCACAGTTCCACTGGAAGCATTAAAGAAGCTCCAGCAGAGCTACATCCATTAGCTAAGGCTGTGAGCGATGACTTCAGCATGAAGTGCTTAACACACAGTGAAGATCTAGCACACTTGAAGCAATCGAACAATAAATGGCCAAAGACCTGTAGGACTTAAGGACTGCGTACTGCCAAAAAAGGCAGTTTTATTTCCACTACTCAATGCAGAGAAGATACAAGCAACTAAGAATGGACAACTGGAGTCTGTTAAGACAGTCATCAGTTTCTGTAATGACAACTTCACAGCCAAAATAAGAACTGTGGGGTATTTTTATATTGTTTGATTTTCCTTTAAAGTGTTTGCACTTGTCTGGATGAAGCTAAAAAATGCTTGTTGGGACTGCAATCTCTAGCAATTTCTGAGCCATCAGGCAGTTGCCTGCCAATAATACAAATGTTAAAAGCATTTGAGAAGAGAACAAAAAGCACAAGCAATGATATGCACATGGATTTTGGAACTAATAGCCAGAAAGTCTACCAGAAACCTTTCAGTTGGCCAATATGAATGAGAGCACAACTTTTTCTTGGACTTGCTGTTACCACTTGTACCATGTCTGTTTCATGTCCCATCCAGGAGTAGTCCCAGTGGACCCAGTCGTACGCAAACAATACAGCAGAAAAATCTACCAGCTCCAAAATGTGCTGCGTTATCTATAAATATCTGAAGGCCTCACAATTGGCCTCCACTGCGTGGGCGCTGTGCTGACTTGTGCTCAACTTCTTGTCTGCCAGGACCCCAGATCCTTTTTTGCTAAGCTGTTTCCTAGTCAGGCAGACCCAGCGTGCAAATGGGGTTATTCCATTCCAGAAGCAGAACTTTGCACTTGACCTTATCCCATTCTTTCCCCTTCCATTCAATACAGGATATTTGGAGCAATAACAACATACCACAAACCCCATTGCAACGGAGCAAAAATAGATCCTACTTTTGTGCTAGTGGTGCCAACACTAAAATCTTTCAGTGCTTACAAAAGATCAATCACTAGATAAATAACAGCTTTCTCAAACTCAGCTCAAGCAAGTGATCTGAAGAAACAGCAGCACTAAGCTGGTATCCTCACTCCCCTTTACAATAAAATCCATTGTGTCACAACAGTGCCAAACAAATTACTGGACAACCATGAGAGGGTGGCCCAGTTAATCCTAAATCCTCGTGTTACACCTATGACACTGAATGCTTGGTGCTGGCAATAGTGAGTTCAGGACAAAGTATAAAACATGACAGGCTTTGGCTTTTTGGTTTGTTTTGGGGTTTTTTAGGGTTTTTTATTGTTTTGTTTTAAATGGAAAAAGGTAAACACACCTATAGAGAGATTATCCAAATTTAAACAACTACATGCTCCCTCTTCCTCTCCTCTTCCCCTAGAAGTACCACGAAGATTGCATTATTTCTTAACACGTTTCGGCTCTACAGATTCAAGGTATATGTAGGTTCTCTGGTGAAGTCTGCAGTGAGCTAGAGTAATCTGTAGCCCAAATTATGTAATCTCTTGTTGTCCTACCCCTTATAGCCATTCCCCTTCTCCCTGACAGGCTCTCCGGTTCCCTACAATGAAGGACACTTACTTTAGTTCCCTGTATTTCTCCCGCACCTAACAACTTCTCTTTCTCCATATTTTTTTGGCTTCAGAATTGCCCAACAGAATAATGATGTCAGATCAATGTTCAGAAAGTATTTCAGAGAGAATGAGATTTTAATCGTAAGGTTAGACTTCGGGTCATCCCCTTTAAAAAGAAAATTAAAGGTATGGCTGCTGAATTCAGGAAAAAATGCATCCCAGAAAACAATATGGCCACAAGTACATTAAGGTTAGTGCCTTTTCTAAAAACACAGCCAAGTTGTATTCTCTAGTTGTTTTTAAGCTGATAAGGCATAACTGGAGTACCACTTGATCACCTATATTAAGAGAAGGAAAAAAAAGAATCCCTGTAACACTCCACAAAAAAAGATCTAAAAATGAACTCTAGATCAACAGCTCCACCAATTCAGATATACTTATTGAAGAAAATAACACCTTTTTCTTGATTTTTAAAATTGCAAATCAGAGGCATATCCGTATCACCTATTAAGAGAAATTCCTTCCTTTCCATGGATTTCCTAACTTTTCTTGGTTGAAATTACACAAGCTGTCAGAATTAGGTCTCAAAAGCTAATAAATTAATCCCATTCCCTCATATCCCTCTGCAACTGGTGTTGCGCTGCAGACTCCAGCAGTAGCCACTTACCTTGGAAACAAAACAGTCTGCTATAGCCACAGGATCATTTTCACAGTTTTCCAAATCTTGCAGAAGTTCACTAAAACAAAGAACAGGAAAAGGAAATACAATTATGGCACACCTTGGAACAGACACACCTGTATATTCGGAGCCAGACAGTGCTTCATCATTCACTGCAATGATGCCCAAAGCAGTAAACGACACAGGGAGTCCTAAAAGGGGAATGAGAACCCCTTTGATGTCCCTCTTCCCCCAGATGTATGGCTGCTGGGGTTTTTTGTTTGGAGGCAGAGGAGCACTCTGAGGAACTGGTATTCCTACATATTTAAAAATTCAAGTCACCACAATGACCATGGATTGTTGATCTCCTAAGCAAAGCTGAGCCCCTTCCTTCAGATTGACAGCTCTTCTACGATACTCATAGTGGTGTAGTCAGACAGCTGTGTAGCTTGTATATCAAATTATACAGTTTAAAACTAAAAATAATTAAAGCACATGCCCTGCCCTGTAAAGACTTCGTATCTTCTAGCAGCTTTACTTGACTGATAGAGATGAGGAGCTGGTCTCAAAACACAGATGAGAACTAGGGATGTATCTAGAAGCATGGTAATAAGCTCACTCAGGAAAATTTGCCTAACTTCAGTGGGTCTCTTCACTGAAGAAAAATGGGTAGCCTGGAAAATGTTTTCTGGAAGGGAATATATAAATTCTACATGCATAAAAATAACACCTTACTGAGAGGATTTTATAATTTTGACATGCCAAGCAGGAAATGAATTCATTGTAATAGGAGCAAAGCCATAAGGGAGCATGTTCACTGTTGTACAAAACTCAGTTCTCGAAAGCAAATTCAGTGAAAGAGTTCAAGCAGAAGAAAACCTCAAAAGTCTCTCCTTGATCCTAACAGTCTGAAGTCTTAACGAAAGACGTACTCAGGAAAACGAGAGAAGAAACTGAGTTTTCTGCCAAATTGTTCTCTAATAGAACTTGAACCTCCCCCCCTTCCTTCTCATCAGATGAATTTCCAGTTAGGGCTACTTTTCTCCCAGTTCACAGCTGGTTCCCTGAATGACTTTTGAATAAGTGTTGCTAAGCCTGTATCTAGGGAACTACCCTTTTCCCCTCTAAGCACACACAATTTCCCTCTGTAAGAAAAGGAGTAAACCAGAAAAGTTTCCCGACTTGTTCTTTGCTTCTCTAATTACTGGAGGAAGGAAGGGAAGAAAGCAGCAATCAGTCACAAGGAATGAAGACAGTC